AATGGGCCCCAAAAGCCTTAAATTACAAAACAGGCAAAAAAGGCCCCCCCGGGAGTTATCTCATTTTATCTGCAATTACAAATGTGTGCATTCAAATTACAAACAGGCAAAAAAAAAAAAAAAAAAAAAAAAAACCCAAATACTTACAGATGTTTTAGCCGATTGATCGGTGAAAAAATAATTTGGGGGGGGGTCCCCAGTAATCCCGAGCAAGCCCCCAAATTTTGTAATACACAAACGAGCCCCCAAACTCAAATTCAAAAATGAGGCAAAAACATATTTTAAAAAAGTAGCACTGATTTATTTTATCCTGGGCCCAGCGACACAGTGCAGTTGGAGATTGCAAAAGCTGTGTGTTGCTCCTCTATACTTGCCGCCTTTAAGTACATATCACAGTTTATAAAGTAAGGGTTTATGGTGTGGATCAGGAAATCTGCTAATGAAGAAGATCTTTGTTTTCCTTAGCAGAGAACAGAGGTCTAGCAGTAATTAACAATCCTTTGTCAGCTGATTTTAGTACCACATCTGTTATTTGTAGAGGGCAACAATGGTTAACATATCTATTAGGTTAGGTTTCACAATTCTTTACCGTGGAGAGCATTGATTAACATATCAATTAGATTACCCAGAGGGGGAAAGAAAACACATACACAGTATGGCCAGGCCACGTTACAGGTATTTTGGTATAATACAAATATAACAAAGATCTTTTGGCTAGTGTACAGCATTATGTATCTTTCTATATTATATAATATGCAGAGTTCATTGTTTTAAACGTTACATACCAAATGTATACATTTTAAGCATATAATTAAATTGCTTTTAATACATGCACATTCTGTAACCAATACCTGAAATAATATAAGAGAACATGTCTATTACTCTAGGTTTCCTCATGCCCATTTCCAATGATTTCCCCCAAAATCATTTTTATTCTGATTTCAGTCATCAAAAATTAACTCATCTGTTTAATAACTTCATACCAATGAAACTAGATAGTATATATTTTCCTATCTAGCCTGGAATTTTATAGTGAGGAAAACTATAAGTTGTAATATTGTGCTATTTGTAATAATGTACATAGTTTAAAAATATGATAAGTTAAAATATAAACCAAATTTTGCTCAGAAATTGTATTTTGGAATGTTGCTGTTATAACTTGGGTCCCGGTATAAAATCCAAGGAGGCAAGAGACCGAAAATTTAGGTGGCAAGGGCTTTATTTCCAGGCCTGGCAACCAGTCTCTGGGAGCCAATTTGGAGACTGTGTCCCAGAGACTGAAGGGAGGACTTTAAAAAGGGGCTGGAGGAAAAGTGGGGGGGGGGGGGACAAAGAAACCTGCAGAGCCATCAAACTTGTTGACCCAAGTCTGGAAAGTGTATTGCTGTCCACTTAGCTCTGACAATCTCGGGAGTTCCTGGTGTTTCTCAAATTACTCCCATCCTACAGACTGACATTATCTCGGAGTGGCACATCTGCAGCAATATTTGGGGAAGAAAGTGGACAGTTAATTATCCCAGGACAGCTCGTTTTCGCTAGTGGGTGCGAAGGGGTCAAGAGTTACAAGAAGCTGAAACTTAAGTTTTACAAAGATCTGATATCTAACTCATTTGATGCATACAGAACAAAAGGAAAGCACCAATTGGGGTTTGGGCCATAGTATTTCCCAGTAATTTCTTTGAAGCTAAACAGTTCTTAAAATTTGGGGCAGGCTCATTTTATGACAGATCATTACTGGGTCGGGAGGAGGTCACCAGAAACCCAAATTCTTTATGGCCTAGATAGATAGGTGAGGGGAGAGGGAGGCAATAAGGCGCCATACAGAACAGAAAACGGTGGTTATGTGTCAAGGTCAGGTGGTAAGGGGTTAAACTCATACGCAAATCTCTCTGCACACAAGCAGGTTACTTTAAACAAGTATAAATTAATGGGCCATTCTAGTTTTCTTTAGCTCTTTAGCGGAGAATAGAGGCACCTAACAGTGATTAACAACCCTTGTTAGCTTGTTTTAGCACAACTTCTGTAGTTTGGAGAGGGCAACAATGGTTAACATATCAATTAGGTGAGATTCTTGCAATTCTTTACAGAGGAGAGTATTGCTCAACATATCAATTAGGTCACTTAACATATCAGTTAGGGAAAAAGGATTAAAAAAACACATTTAGTAAGCTACTTTACAGGTTTGCTATAATACACATATAACGAAGCTATTTTCTTAGAGAACAACAGTTGCTTTGTCTGATGAGATTCATGAGTAAACTTTGTGACTTGGCATTGGTGACCAGCTGTTACCCTTATTACCCTGAATGGCTTTAAGTCTTTGTAGATATTCAGTAATATGATCCCATAGTTAGTGAAAAGCCATGTCATCTTAAGTGAGACTGTAAATTTTTCAGTGTGTTAAGATAAACCTTGCAATAAAGATGCATCAGTAAAAGATGTTAGTCCAAAGAAATTTTAAATTCCTGTAATTTGAAATAGATAACTGAAATTTTGTGTATGTAAAATATCATGGGTAAAATTTGGTAATAAATTATGATCAAGTTATAAGAATATAAATGGAAATTTCGTGAGCGATAGTAAGATCAATGAAAATGAACAACTATTTTAAAAAGTATCTATTGACAGAAGATAAAAGAGAAAAATCAAAAGGTATTTTAAAATTATACCCGGTGAAAGGAAAATATAATGTTGAGGAACTGCCTCCTCTTTTTCTCATAATTAAAAATAAGATTTGCATTGGACTGTGAAAGATTTGAGTTGACTAAAATAGAGTACTTTGACAGGAATTGCTGAGTATTATCACAGTATACTCTTTTCTGAGAGGATTTTAATTTTCACATTTAAAGAATGATCAGAAAGTCCCGCCTTGAGGGGAATGGATTGGGTTCCTCTTAAATCCTGTTCTCTGATGATGCAGCCAAGGAAAAACGAAAGTCTGAGAAGCTGTATTATCTTAATACTTTTTTTAGTGATACCAGTAGCAGATTCCTTGATGTGTTTAAACAAGCATGTGTACAATCACACACACACACACACACACACACACACACACTCACACACACCCCAATTCTGCCAAGGAAACAGAAGGGTGTGATTTAATTTCCATGTGCTAGATTAGAGGCTGCTATGACAACAGTGCAAAATATATATTTATTTTTTTTCTAATTCTAAAATGGCACTAATTCTCTATTTAGATCAAAGAATTCTGAAAAATAATCCAAAAGCAATAAACAAATTGGCTACTAGAAACACCTCGATACAAAGAAACAATCTTATCTCTTTTATATTTTCTTCTTTTTTCCACTTAAATCATTCACAGAATACTAATCAATTCAGATAAGAAGTAACACTTGATACTTAAGCCAGAACAGTAACCAAAAACTAACCCATAAAGCTATATCTATCAATGTTGTCCTGAGGCAGATGCAGTAGGTTTTTAGTTTTTTACATGGCAAGCAAGCATTTTTAGAGTGTAATGAATGTTAAATTGCCTATGACATCTTTACCTATTATCCTTGACTGTCTACCCAGAATAGGTAACGGGATCCTATTAATAAGCAAACTCATCTTAGAAAAATAACTTACAGTGCTGAGTAATTACTGTATTTATTGCTGAATAAGAAATTACTACTAATTTTATTTTTTTCTTTTGTCATTTATTTAAAAAATAACTTCATGAGGAAAATTATACTGGCAGCTGGGAACTGAATTTTCAACCCTAAAGTGAATCATGAGTGACAGTGTAGTATCTAACTTACTCCCAGTATCTAAGCAAAATCATGTTAGTAAATACCAGATACATACCTGAAGTCCAAAGTGGAATTGTGGCAGGAAAGGAAAAGGACAGAGAAAGATGAGAGTGAGGTGCTGATAAAAATGTGAGAGGAGTAAACAGAAGAAATGGAACATCATGACAAGAGAGTGTGGTATAGCAAAGCTGCTATCCTCATGGCAGCCAGGACGCAGCACATGGGAAAAGTGACTGACAACTAAACTCCCCAAAGTCACGTCTCTGTGACCCATCCACACATACACATCATGGTGTCCTTTAGTAATCTCTTAGGTGGCTCTCAGACCAATCAAGTTGACAACCAAGAATAACACTGACTTTTACATTACTAGAACAAAACACCAGACTCACTTATCTTATGGACAAAAGGTATGTATTTTAGCTCATCGCTTCAGAAGTTTGAGTATATGATCAGTTGGCTTCAAGGCAGAAACAGCGTAGGGGAGGAAAGCCACTCACCCCATGGCAGCCAGAAGGCAGAGAGCAAGGGAATAGCCAGTGACGAAAGAAAGGGGACAAGGACATAGCCTCCCAGCTTAGACCCCAGTGATGTACTTCCTTCCCCACCCCCTCGCCCCTCCTCACAGAAAGACTGAGCTATTTAGCACATGCAGCACATTAGTGCACCCAGGATCTGATTACTCACCAAGTCTGAACACATGAGCCTTTGAGGGGAGATTTTTGGTCCAAACCATAAGAAGTATGAAGTTAAATACCTGTGAGAAGGCACATTCATTTTTGCAGTCTTCTAGTGATGAAATTCCACTAATAATGCTTGGTTATTCATGCTGTTTATAAAATAATCTTCTCCTTATATCTGTGCGAAAAGGATTGTGGCCAGTTTAGTAATTAGCTCCTGTAAATCTGTTTTCATGTAATTAATCAAACCTTATGATCAAGAATTAACCTGTCTTCTGCAGGATAATGTGCACTCAGTAATCTGCCTCATCTTTCCTAGGACTCATATTTATGATTTATTCATTTACTTGGCAATAAGGGTTATTATCTTGTGAGGAGGAATTTAAGAAGAATGTGATACTCTAAGTGGAAAAACGCGTGACTGCTTTTTTCTTTATCACTTATCACATTTAATAATGTCATATGCCTCTTTACTGGTTTGAACTTGTTAGTATTGCAATTTAACATTTTCCAAAGAAAGATGTATGTTTCAAAGAGGAAAATAATTAATTTTTTTGTTTCTTTAAAGACCAAAATATGCACTGTTAGATGAATGTACCAGTGCTGTCAGCATTGATGTCGAAGGAAAGATATTTCAGGCTGCGAAAGGGGCTGGAATATCCTTACTGTCTATAACGCACAGGCCTTCTCTTTGGTAAGTGTTTCCATTGCCCGCTGATTTGTGGTAGGTGGTTTTTCCTTATATTTTTTAAAAGAACTTTGCAAAACTTTTCAGTGTAGAACATGAGGCATTTCACGTATTTTATTACCTGTATCCTATAGTATCTTCTTACCTGTATCCTATCCTTAACCTCCTACCTTAGTCATATAGAATTTAGATACTTCCAATGTATTATAACTGTAATGTATTATTTGGTCATTATCATTTCCTAGTAATTTTGAAAAGTTGTAGAAAAATCTAGTAATTTCTTTGAACTGAAAATATATATCATAACCCTAGCATATACTAGGAAATCGGTTTTTTAGTCCTTTTTTTGAAATCCAGGGTGAGGGGAGAAATGGATGACAACTTGGTATTTTCCCAAGTCATGAAGTTACAGAATACATGAGAGAAAAGCATATTTTTTATTTTAAGTAAAAGTGAGCTGAGCCATGCATGGTGGCTTATAATTCCAGCACTCAGGAGGCTGAGACAAGAGGACCACTGTGAGTTCAAGGCCAGCATGGGCTTCATAAGTGAGTTCAAGCCCAACCTGCACTACACAATAAGACCTTGTCTCAAAAAAAAAAAAAAAAAATTCAAAATGGGCTGAAATTTTTTATAAGTAATATTTCATGAAATTTAATGACATTTCTCTCTTTTAAAAAGATCCCAATATTTTTACAGCTTTCCTACTTTTCTACTGATTTATTATTGTAGTAACAATTGGGTAATGAAGCCTTATAAGGCATCTATTTTGTTGCAGCTTCGCTTTGTATAAGTCTCACAACAACCCCATGGAATATAAGTAGTCTAATTCTACCATTTTACAAAGAATCTGAATATTAGAAAAGCAAGAAAATTAGCTTCTGTGATAACATGCTCTTTACTATGATACATGGTACCCACTGTAAAAGAACTTAAAATGTGTTTTAGACTTAAACCATAAAACACTTGTTCATTCCTGCTATGTAGTTCATCAATCATAGTCTTTTCCTTCTGGCATATTAGTAGCTATATGACTCATTCTTGTATGTGCTTTGGTCTTGTATTCCCCAAGGGACTGCACAGGCCACCTCCTCTTCCTGCTCCCCTCCCCCCCAGATTCTGTGACAGGCGGCTGATTAGATTCTGTGCCAAAGCTGTCATCATATATAGCTACCAAACTAGACTAGTAGCAACATTTGTGTTCATCCTTGAAGCCTTTTATACCTTTTTTTCTTACAGAGAATGTTTACATTAAAATTATGAGGAAACTATTTATTGTTCAATGTTTTTTGAATATCGATTTTATTTCTATTGAGAGCATGATATTTGATTCTTACTCCATTTAAACATTCAGATTTTTTAGAATTTTTCCCCCTCAGAGAGTGGATCTGAAAATAGAGGGATTTCCTAAAGTGACCCTAATACTGTGGTTTCTCTCAGCATTAAGAATCAGGTGCCATCTGGAATGACGGGATTTGCTAATGTCTTCAGTGGCAGTCTGGACTTAGTCCTGCATGCATTAGAATTCATGGCAATGGATACCATTCTTCTGGCTTTTCCTTAAGAAAACCAATAGAACCTGGGTCTTTAAGCTAATTAGGACATTTCCTGCAACTCCTCTGAATTAGGGATGACACAGGGCCAGACCAGAACTGCTGAGCCCTTTTGGCATAGACCTGTGATTTCCAGACCAGCTCCCAAATCCAACATGTTGGTATAAAGCAGAATTATCTCTGAGAGCTGGTGTTTTTCTGACCTTTATCAATGGCTTTATTATGCCATCCTGTCATTCTTTTCTCACTCAATTAGCCTGAAGAGACACTGGAAATATTTCAGTCATTGTTTTTTCAACTAGAGGAACAAATAGTTCTCTAAGCAAATAGCAAAATCTGAATGTTACATTTTAACAAAGAAAACATATTTTAACTGCAGCTGCCCCAAGTCCATTTCTTCAAAAAACTAAACAACATGTTCTTTATAAATTAGCTTAATCATTTTACAGCAATTTGTCATTTCTCTTTATCTTTTCTCTCAGGAAAGTAAAATTATTATTTTCCTATTTTCCCTGAAAAGCTTTCAGAAGAAAATATTCATTATCTTTTTCACCATAACAACATATGAGTAATTATTAATTATAAGGAATAAAATTGTCTATAGAAGTAAAAAATAACTTACTGAACTATTTTTATTCCTGTTTTATCCTATTTGTTGAAGAAGTTTACAGAACATCTCTGAGTCACAGTTAAAATAGCTGTTTCTTTTAAATCTTTCTGATTATCCTAAACCTTGAAATACTATTTTAGCTAATAGTATAGAACATGCCTTTGTCTCTCAGGGTACGGGACACCTACCAGTTTGTCTTTCCCATGTAGAAGACAAGTCTCTGTAGGACCAGAGTGAACAGTTAAAACTTCATTATAGAGTGAAGGTAAAGCTCACCCAAGATGCAAATGACCACAACTTAAATGGCTTCTTGTGGACCCAAGGCTAGGAAAGCCTGAGAAAAGTTGAGAAGAAAATAAATAAGATGGGCTCTTTGCCATTATTCCCCTTTCTTATTGTCTACCATACTTCTTTTGTATTTCTATTACTTTTGCCTTAATTTTAATATTATAATAGCAGGATTTTTAGCATTTTTCCAACTGACAGAGAAATACAGTTTTCAATTTAATTTTGAGATGGTCCCAGCTGTTAGGAGATCAGATTTTTGGAAACCTAGAGAAACTAAAGGTATAAGGAAAAGCCTATTAATCTGTGTCATGCATTATCAAATTTAAACTTTCAACTTAACAATCACCTTACTTTATCAGCCTACTAAACCAGCTAAACTTCCCTTTTGAAAAAAAACCTGATTTAAAGAGGGCTAAGGCTGGGGATTGTAGTTTAGTGATACTGCACTTACATAGCATGCACAAAGATCTTGAGTTTGATCATTGCAAAAAAGGGGGAGTGTTGAGGGAGTGTGTGTTGGTCACTTTCTCATGGAACACAGTACCCAGCACCCACAAGTCAGGGAGGAAAGGGTTATTTTGGCTCACAGTTTCAGACGTTTCAGTCCATGGTTGTTGTGTTCACATGCTGAAATGGGATGGCAGAAGGGCCATGGAAGAAAGCTGCTCACATCATAGCAACCAGGGGTCAGAGAGAAAAGAGAGGAGCTGGGAGGGAGATGTGCCCTTCCAGGTCAGAGTCCCAGTGACCACCTCTGTCTCCTAACAGCACACTCATCCACAAACTCATCAGTGGATCAACCCATGGATGGGAACAGCTCCCCAGTGATCCAATCATCTTCCAAACACATGAGGCTTTTGAGAAATGCATTCCAGATCTAAATCATAATAGAGCAGTTATAGAATCCCGATGTCCATCAGTTAATGAGTAAACAGAATGCACAGTGTCCTACAAGGGAATATAATTTAGCCATCAAAGCCAATGAAGTATTGACACATATTATAAATGAAGTAAACTTGAAATCATTTTGATAAGTGAAGGAAGCCAGTAACAAAAAGGCACATGCTATATGATCCCATGTACATGGAAAATTGGAGCAGAGAAATCCCTAGAGACAGAAAGGAGATTAGTGGTGGACAGAAGAGGACGTGGCAGATAACTAATGGTTACAGGGTTTCTATTGTGAATAAAGGAAATTTTCTGAAATTAGGTGGTGGTGCTGTTTTCATGAGCTTGTGCATATACTAAAAATCACTTAATTTTACGATTTGAAGAGTAAATTTATGTCATGGGAACTATATCTTAGTTTTGTTTTTTTTTAAACAAAGAGGTAAGAACTTTCCTGAAAATAATACATGAGAGTTTGACAAAAAAAAAAAAAAAAAAAAAAAAAGAAGTAGGACACCTATAAAAGAGACAAAAACTGAAGAATGCTGGGCTGGTATAACAAAGTGACACTCTCCAGGTGACTAAGCTGTGGGACCAGCTCTCATCTTTAATGTCTCTACACATCCCCCAAAGACTAATGACATCTACTTCAGAAAAGATCAGTTATCTTTGACATCATCAATAATAATCTCACAGCGCTGTGAAATTCCTACCTCTGAACCATGAAAAAGAAATTAAATTACATAAAGAAATGGAAGAATATTTAAAAGATTTCTATCGATGAGTTCATTTTCTAAAATGTCTTTAAACTTAAGAAACTGAAAAGTTTTTACTTATGTAGAAAAACTCATTACCAAAGAAAGGTAAAATAGTGATAAAAAAATTTTGGTGTCAGGAATTGAACTCATGACCTCATGCTTGCCAGGCAGGCACTGTGCTGCTGCGCTGTATGCCCAGCCCTGAATTCATATTTTCTATTATTTTCCTTACTTTTTCTCTGCATGCCCTTTTTAATTTTTACTTTCTTTCTTTGGTTTCCTTTGCTTACTTCCCCTTTAAGAATACTTTATTATTTAAGGAGACATAGTGGGTTATAAAGAAAAATCAATACGTACGCAGCATTGTCTACCTTTATAATTCTTACATACTCAGAATATGAAAAATATTTACTGTAATCAATGATAATATCCTAGAGATTAGATTAATGACTTTGAGATTTTAGCATATTAGAGTGATTAACTTCTTGTGATATCCTTGAAAATCAAGTGTAAAGTTGGTACTTTACTTAAAATTTGCCTTTGACTATCAATTAGAATTATAAACCCATAACAAAAACTACTTTTTACTATTATGGTTAATAATATTATTTCATTTAGAATTACAAACCTATAACAAAAACTGCTTTTCACTGTTATGGCTAATATTATTTCATTTTAATCATGCAGGAAATACCACACTCATTTATTACAGTTTGATGGTGAAGGAGGTTGGCGCTTTGAACAATTGGATACTGCTATTCGTTTAACATTGAGTGAAGAAAAACAAAAGCTAGAATCTCAGCTAGCCGGAATTCCCAAAATGCAGCAGAGACTCAATGAACTATGTAAAATTTTGGGAGAAGACTCTGTGCTGAAAACAGTCAGAAAAGAAGATGAGACATCTTAATTCATTTTGACAAGTTTTAAAAGTTAATTTTTAGGTAAAGACTCACAGATACCCTATTATAGTGCATGCATTGTGTTAAGCTAAGCACAGAAAAAATGAAACCAGCAAGAAATATTTTATATAACTTTAGCATCAGAGAAGCAGATGGTCTAACTTTTCAGAAGAAAATAAACAAATGCATGATGTGAGATTAGTCCTGATGGCTTACACTAATTCACAGTGAGAACCTAATTGACCTGTAAAACAGGATTTTCTAGGTGAATTCATGGTGAATATCTGATTACTGTGTATAATGTGATATGTCTGAGATTTTTTACTTGAGAGATATCTTGGAACTGCAAACTTAAGGAACAGCATTTGGGCTGATCTCAGGTGCATAAATATTAGAATTCTGAGTACCATTTAAGTCTTCATGATTGAGATGTTTAATAGCTATAATTCATGTTCTTTATTGCTAGTGGCCAACTAAACCTTATATAAAATACCTGATAATTTAAGAAATAATTTCAACATAAAAATATTTTAATGGCAATGGTTGAGAGAAGAAAGCATGGCTAAACAAGTACAAAATGACATTTTAAAAGTTTTTAAACTTCTATCATCTTGATGCAGGAATATAAAAATTAATTGTAATGAAAATCTCACATATTTTGTAATAAACCTTTTCATTTTTAGAAGAAATATAGAAATAGTGTATCCAAACAATGTTTGCCTCAGCATGGTATTTAGCCTAGCAGCATTATCTATTACAATTTCAGTCTAAAAATACTATTTTATTGTGTGTGTTTGTGCCCAAAGGAGGAGTCCACATTTCTAAAACTGTAGTACCACAAGCTGGGCATGGTGGCACACATTTGTAATCCCAACACTCAGAAGGCTGAGGCAGGAGGTTCACTGTGAGTTCAAGGCTGGTCTGGGCTAACTAGTGAGTTCAAATGTAGCCTGAACTATGTAGTGAGACCTTGTCTCAAACAAAACAAAACAAAACAAAAAGTAGTACTACAATAGATTCTTAAAATCATAATAATATTGGCATACATTGGAATAGTACTTTATAATCTTCATTTAAATCATTTCACTTTAACTTTTGTGGCAATCTTTTGAGACAAGTATTATTTTTCTATTTTGATTTTGAGAAAAATTGGCACTCAGACTTACCCTAATTATGTAATTTATTTAGAGAACATCTGGGAGCACATGAGTTTCACCTGACTAACTCAGCACTACTACCACCATTAAACTGTATTTACCTGGGTTATAATAATAAATACAGTGGGGTGGTAGATGGCAGGAAGTAGGACTCTAAGCAAGGGAGCAAGATGAGGGAAAAATAATCAATATAACAACTAGATGAAACATTGAAAAGGAAATGTATTTGGAAATGTTAGTCAAGTTATTTGATTATTGTTTATAAGAAATGAAAATCAAGTAGAATGTAGAAAGATCACTGGTTTATGGTTTTTTTTTTCTCTTTTTTATTGGTACCAGGGATCAAACTCACAACTGCCTGCTTGCAAGGCAGGTGCTTATGCCGCTGAGCTAAACCACTGAGCTAAATCCCCAGCCCCTACTGGTTTATGGTTTAAAATGAGCCAAGGGAGCTGGCACTTCTTTCAGCAATTCACTGTCTTACTCAATATTAACGTACTTTGGCTACTGGTAACTGGAAGGGCAGTTCATTATATTTTAGGCAAATTTATTATTAAACATTAGAAATAATACATATGTATTAGTTGTATGACATAGAGCCTACCTATTTACATGGCCTGACTTGGAAGTACAACAGCCAGGACTGATGGTTCTCTGTGCTACCATGTTGACAGGCCATTAAAAGTTGGAATGATAGTTTTATGTGTATAATTAGACATAGACATCATTGCTAAGACATTGCTTAGACATAATTGCTAAGTCAATGATTCTTAGAATTTTTGATGAGATAGAAAACCTGAAAGTCATTTATGGTGATTGGTATAGAACATCATAACATATCCACATTTTTAATTCTCCAAGATAACTAGTACATTTTGAATTATCAATAAATATAACCATCTTGTATGAAGCAATGCAATATAAAATAATCAGTATATTTGTCCAAGTTTTTCAGTTAGTATCATTAGCTGCTCACTTATTCCCTTGGCTTATTTATTCATAGTATTATTAGAAAAGTGAGGCAGGAATTAAATTTTTTTTAGAAAAAAGACATGGAACCAAAGTCTAAACTAGGTAAAAATTATCTATTGACCTTAACATCTATACTAGCAGTTATTAAATTTATACTGCTGTTAGGGAAATGTTTGAGACAAGTATCTTACATAACCTTTTACAAGTTCAAATGCACAGTTTTCATGCCTTAATTTTCATACTCAAGCACCACAAAATACAAGCAAAGAACTCTACACACTGCAGTTTAAATGTTATAGTTTTTAGACAAACAGGTGTTCTGTGAGTTGTGTGTGTGTGTATGTGCACACATGCACATATGTACTTATTTATTTCCTGATTTTTTTTTTCAGAATCAATAACCTCTAACCTGGAAGCGAAAAGATCTAACTAGAATTGTATTTATGTACCAGCTGTTTCCAAAATAGTCCTATAATTCATATAATTATACTTTGTGAAAAACATGAAAAAGATTAAGAAACTAAATAGCATCCATGAATACAGCAAAAGAATAGATGAAGAAAGGAAAAACATTTCAGATTTCAAACTATATTATCAAAATGACTTACTTTTTTGGTCAAAAAAGCTATTGTGGAGCTATATTATAAAATGTATGTTTTGAGTGTTAATTCAAGTGTGGAGAATAAGCTGCATTCAATGAAAATGTCACATTATATTTCTACAGCATACATCATACAAGCATGATTCTAAAAGAATGTATATCCTTATAAACAGGATAGTGTGTAAAAACCTCTCTTGAGTAGTCTAAAAGAAAATAATATATCTTGAAATCCATCCAAATTTTCATGTCTTTCACAGTGGGCATGCTTTTTTTGCCTTGATAGTAATTTCCTTTTTGTTCAAATTTTAGCCTGTCAGTACAAGTATAGATGAACATGTTTTTATTTGAGACATTGGTTCCAAATATAATTTCATATTTTGCCAATAGGCTGAGCCTATTACAATGTTGGAATATCTTTTGATTCCATAAGCCTACAGAATTTTTTTACACATTTGAACCCAAATCAAGAGGGTGCTATGCAGTTTTGAGATGTGCATAAAGAAGTAAAGCTTAATAAATTATTGGTATAACTCCTTTATGAGCAAAAATAATTATTATTCTGAAGATAAATCACTTTCACATAACCCAGGGTATTTACAGTTCTGCTGACATACATTAGGTATGTTGAATATGTTTTGGAGTTGTACTTCTAATATTTGCCAGATAAGGACATTCAGATAAATGTATAAAATATTTTTATACATTGAAAACAAATCCCTCTTACATTGTTGGTGGATTTCCTGAATACCAAGTACATAGGGCCATACAGTTTTTATTGTTGAATTTTCAAAACCAATTCCTTCTTACCTGCTGGTGTATATTAAGAAAAGAGGTAAAAATTACTATATATATAAACAAGAACATGACTGTATATGGACACATTATAGTACCATCTCTATTCAGTGTAGTTACGTGAGCTCAGCTTTCCTTGTGAATTCCATAATCACCATGGAAAATCCTTGATTAATCAAAGAAATGACAAATCATGCCGTGATAGAAAATGCTGCCCCTCTACTGTACCTGTCTGTGTTGGTTTGTGTGTACTCATGCCTCAGTTACAAATTGTGGGATACAAAACCTTGTGAAGTGTTGTGCACAACATAAAATTTATTTCTTTTTAAACTCAAAACCTTTATTAAGTTCTAACTTAATATCACAGTGCATAGCACTGTGATAAGTTCTAGGAATAAATGAAATATGGTCCAGTGGAAGCTTACAGTCCAGTGGAAATAACAGAAATATACTCAGTCATAAAGTTAATTGCTTTATTTTTTATCAAGTTGGCATAAAATACTGTGTATACATTCACTCATTAAATCTTCACACAACTAATTCAACAATGAAGAAAAAAGGTTTAAGTAATTTATGTAACTTCTTGCAGTATCCCAGCACTGAAATTTGAAACCAGCAGTGTTTGATTAGAAAGCCTATACGGTGCCGTATCACCTTCCTTTTAATTATTTTAGGCCATTCATTACTAACTTTTTTCTGGTACTGAGGATTGAACCCAGGGCCTTCACACTGAACTACATCTGCGGCCCTTTTATACTTTGTTTATTTATTTATTTTGAGATAGAATTTCACTGAATTTCCTAGGCTGGGCTTAAATTTGGGATCCTTATGCATCCGCCTTCCAAAGTGATGGGATTACACATGTGTACCACCATTATGAACTATTATTGCTACTTTAAATTGAAGTTTCAGTGTGTGTGTGAGTAACCAAGCCAATATATTTTGTCTTAAAAGAGAATTCATGCAACATAAATTATAATTTTCAAGATAAATTATGGATGTTTCATTATCAATTATGAGGTGGAGCAAACACAAATTTTCAAATGTTTTGAGGTACAAATGTTCAAACTAATTCTAATTCATTCACTCAATAAAAACTGACACATTCAAGGTATCAGCTACTGTGTTAGAGATTAAGACGAGCAAGACAGAGGGCTGGGGATTCAGCTCAGCAGCATAAGCGCCTGCCTTGCAAGTGTGTGGTTGTGAGTTCGATTCCTGGTACCGAAAAAGACAGAAAAAATTTTGGGACTGGGGATTCAGCTCAGCGGCATAAGCACCTGCCTTGCAAGCAGGCGGTCGTGAGTTCAATCCCTGGTACCAATAAAAAAAAAAAAAAAAAAAAAAAAGACAAGCAAGACAGACTGGCTCTTTGTACTGGTGCAGCGTTTCCGATCAGTAATGAACAGTGCTAAGAGTGTTGGATGTTGTGGTTTGTTTTTTAGTATATTTTCAATTCTTGGATGTCCTGCCTAAGACCATCCTGGTATACCTTCTAAGCAATAAACGTATTTTGGTAGCAGAATTCCTTTGATTCTGAATATGATAATCCTCACAATCCATTTTAGTCTACATTATAAGGCAAAATAAAACCAATCCACTGGATTTTGCCAATAGGTACTCCTATGCAGTATTGTTTTGATAGTTGGGAAATATCTACAATCCAGATCATGTAAGACAAGTCAGATTTATATACTCCAAAGCATATCTCTCATTACCACAAAATGCACATAGTAATTATATCAAGAAAAATGATGAACCTAGTTCCAAAGCTCCTGTGTTTAGGTTATCTTGTTGCACAATGTAGGCCAAATCTCCAAGCTCCTTATAGACAGAATCTACAGAAATGAGGCTAATGTAAACCCAAGCAGACACATGTTTTTTTCTACAACCTACATACATCTGCATGCATATATACCATACACAATTCTTCAGAATACACAGATTTTAATTTTTATTTATTTATTTTTTACTTTTTTTTTTTTTTTTTTTTTGGGTACTGGGGATTGAACACGACCTCACACTTGCCAGGCTGGTGCTTGTGCCACTGAGCTAAATCCACAGCCCAGTATACACAGATTTTGAGGACTTAAGTAACAATAGAATTTTTATTGTTGTAAAGAGCATGCAACAAAAATTTTCATCTTTAGTGTTTTTTAATGTGTAGCTCAGAAGTCAAATGTATTCACATTGTCGTAAAACAGATTTCCAAAACTCTAAAACCCTGTATCCATTAAACAACTCTTTTATCTCTCTGTCCAATCCCTGATAGCTACTATTCCACTAATAAGACTTTCACTACTTCAGAGAAGTGGAATATACAGTGTTTGCCTTCACTTAGCATAATGTCCTCAAGATTAATCGATGTTGCAGCATGTGACAAGATATTCCCTTCCTTAGAGGATGAATAATATTCAGCCATGCTTTAGTGTTGCTGCTTCCTCTTGGCTGCTGTGACTACAGCTTCAGAAGCATGAGTGCTTTGGTTCACTCACCAGTGAACTGCTGAAGTTTACATCTTTGTGGGATAGCCATACACTCACAGTGGATGCACCATTTTACAACCCTACCAGGAGCGTACAAGAGCTCTGGTTTTTCTACAGCCTCACCAATGTTTATTTTCTGCTCTTGAAAAAAGAGCCATCCTAATGGGCCTGAAGTGATATTGCTGTCATAACTAGTGCTGTTTAGTACCTTTGAACATACTGTTGCCCATGTGTATATCATCCTTGGAGAAATATCTTTTTAAATCTTTGCTTGAAAAGTTTGTTAGGATGTTGAAACTTGTTTCGTGTTATTCAGGGACCACCATGATCTAACCCAGTCTGATTCCTCTGCTTCCAAACTCTCTCCCTTTTCCCTCCTTTATTCTTCTGTTCCTATTACTTGGTCTCATTCCTTTTCTTCTTAGACATTAATTTCATCTCGGCCAATATGGTCCTTGCCACACCATCTTTGTCTAAAGGAAGCCTATCTTGCTCTAAGGACATTTCAAACTCTAGTTATGTATTACTTTCTCCTTTCTCTGCTTGCAAAGGAGAAGACTTTATTTGAAATCCTGTTATTATGTTTATCATGCTACCTTTTATTATTTGTGTAGAACGTACCTTTTAATGCAACTTATTTCAGTTTATCTTAATAGCTTGTTAATTGGTTCTCCCTGATTGTACCTCCTTGTGAACTCTAGACTTGGATTCTTGCTTTTCTTACTGCAGTATTCACCTAAAACAACTCAAGGCAGGTGGGAGACACTGGAAAAGTGTTTGTTCAATAAGGGCATAAATGGATGAGTGAGAAATCAAATATTACTCATTGATGAGAATGAATGAAAACCAATGATAGAAAATCAAGCATGGAGACTCACACCTGTAATCCCAGTACTCTGGGAAGCTAAAGCAGATGGATCACAAGTTACAGCCCATGTTGGGCATTTTAAAGCTCATCTCAAAAAAAAAAAAGTCACTGAAAGAGAAATTTTAAAAAGTGTACCTTTTCCTTCACATCCTTGTATATTAACCAATACTGCTAACTAAATCATGTTAAAATTTTTTTGTCTTTTCTGAAAAAATAAAAAATTTTATGATCTTGGGAAATTCCTATTTGTTTTATCTGTTTCTTCCTCTGTCAGTGAAAATGAGTGAATTCCTTGGTTTTAACATTCTAAATTCTATGCTGATGATAAAGTTTCCATAAACATTTTTTCCAATTCCGAGTCCACAGAAATTAGAAATAACACTGCCTAATCAGATCATTCGGACCACATTTTCTTTCTTCAGTCCCAAAGCACAGGCCTTCCCCTCCTCCCTTCACTGAGTAGTTCTTGACATCCCTCATGTGAGGTACACCAGGGCCAGGAGGTCATAGCTATCATACTGTCATTATCACCAACCCCAGGGATAACCAGGGGCCCTTTCTTCAATTTAGAGGCATGAGCAGACTTTTGCTTTCTGTAATGTTTATCTAAAGCTCAGTAACAACAGGAAAACACAAATGACCTCTGACTCTGGATGATGAGAACAAAAGATAATCTCAAAGCAGAAAGAAAATTTTACCTTCGTTAGCCTTCATGGAAATCCAGCACCTCTGCATACCGCATGCCTTGAGTATGGGCTTGTGCAATGATTAGGAGCACAGACTGGAGAAAGACTGCTTGGTGGAGTCTTGCCCTGGTCACCTCCCCACTAAGGATGTTACTTAATCTCACCATTTTCTTTTTCTTTTTTAATTTAAAGAGTAAAACCAAGCAAAACAAAACAACAAAGCCAATCAAAACAAATCAGAATAAGTGGCACAGGACTTCAAAACAATAGGAAATAAAAAATGATTACTTCCAGACATAGTAAAAATAAAACAGAACAGAACAAAATAGAACCAATGAAAACAAAATAAAGAATGCCATAAAGGACTTCAAAACATGGTAATAGTGAATCTAAAATGGCGACCATAATATATCTTATTATCTTTGAAATAGTTGCCCATGCCATCGGGTACAATAAAATCAAAACAGAACAAAACCCAACCTACCAAAACAATGAAAATGATACAGGACTTCAAAAGTAGACAATAGGGAATCCACAATGGCCAATAACCTTGGAAGGAGTTCCCTCATAGATGCTATATTATGTACTATTATCCTCTGAATAGATGACCAGTCCACTGGCTTTAGACCTGCACAGTCAGTGAAACACTAAACATTATAAACATGAAATTGTATTCCTTAATAGCCATCATTGCAGCCTGTATTTCTCCAAATCAGCCAGTTGCTTATGATGGGGTGGTTATCTCTCTGTCCAATCCCTGATGATGGGGTGGGGTGGGGGGAGTGTTGTCTCTTCTTGTTTCCCAGCCCATGCACCAGAAGGGGCTGACATCTGGCTCTCCCCTTAGTAGCCTGTGCATGGTGCCAATTTATAAGGAGGGCTTGCTTCTTGTTGACTTCTTGTTCTCTTTCCCTGCAGTCTGCAAATGACACTGACTCATGGGTGTCTGGCTCTCCCCCCAGCAACCCCAGTCTTTCTCTGTGTCTCTGTCTCTGTCTCTGTCTCTGTCTCTCTCTCTCTGTCTCTCTGTCTCTGTCTCTCTGTCTCTCTGTCTCTGTCTCTCTGTCTCTGTCTATCTCTCTTTGGTACCAGGGATTGAACTCAGGACCTTGCACTTGCCAGGCATGCAGTTATGCCACTGAGCTACACCCCTGACTCCCATTTCTCATTTTTTAACTGGGGATAGTAATAGTACTTAAGTCACGGCACTTTTGGAGTACAAAGTGTATTAATTCTTATAAGGTGCTAAGGAGAGAAGTTGGCACATAGTTAATACCAGTTAGTTTATACTGGAATGTGTTACAGAAATAAAAGTCAAATATGGGGATTTCCTTCTATCTTGTCTTTGAAGTCCAATATTTTTCTCTGTTTTGCTTTGTTCTGTTTTGCTTTATTCAATATTCTGTTTTGATTGGTTTTATTCTGTTTTGTTTTTTATTTGATTTTGCTATACCTGATGGAATGGACAACTAATTGTGAAGATAACAAGATATACTATGTTAGTTATTATTGTTTTCCCAGTAGTCTGCTTTTAAGTTCTGTACCAATTTTGTTGCTTTGTTTTGATTGACTTTGTTATGTTTTGTTTTGTTGGTTTTTACTATTTTTAAAATAAAAAAAGAAAGAAAAGTCTAATTATTTCCCCAAAAATGGTTGCTGTTAACTGACTTAGAGAAAAAGGAGTGATAATTTCAGGGGAGGGGTACCCCTTTTGGGTTGAAAGACCCCAAAAGTGAATTCCTAGAGGATGACTAGTTCAGTGTTTGATGCATAGTAATTGCTCATTATTTGTTTGTGGAATAAATGATAAAATGACAGAATGAATAAATAAATTGAGGTATTAGCAGAAAAGAGATACTAACATGCCAAAGATAAAAAACTGCTTTCTTTGCTATTTTTCCAAGGGAACAAATGTTAGCTGGCATGCTGTTGAAATTGCATGGACTTACTCTCTGTGGAATGAGCCCTGCTGGTTATGAAAAGCCTGAGGCTATATGCAGAATGATGTGTTCAAAATACTCAGCTGCTAAGCTGCCTCTCAATCCAGTTTCTCCAAACCCACATCTTCTGGTTGTATCTTTCATACAATCAGCACAAGGACAGAGGACATGAGGAGGAATAAGACACTTGTGGGGCAAACGAAAAAAGGAGAAAGACAAGGAAGCGAGGCAGATGGTAATACGTGGCTCTGATTGCAAGGACAATGGGAAGTATGCTTAGAGAAGAGAGGGGAGCGATTGTGGAGATCTAAGACCTTCATCACGCCGGTTCTCTTCATACCTACAGAGGAACAACTAAGTGCTACTGAATCAGGTAGTCCTTCAAGATACAGTTGTCACTATGGCCACATGTAGTGGTGCATACCTACAATCCCGGCACTTGGGAGGCTGAAGGAAGACAATTACTGTAAATTTGAGGACAGCCTAGACCACATAGTGAGTTCAAGGCCAGCCTGCTTTATATGGCAAGATCCTGTCTCAAACAAAAAAATTGACACTATAAATGTATGATGATCAACTTCAAGAGTGTTCTCAGCAATCCTACTCTACTTCGTTTTATTTTATGTTTTTGGAAGTGCTAAGGATCAAACCTAAAGCCCCATGTACACTAGGCTCTACCACTGAACTACATTCCCAGCCCTATTTCTTATTTCTTTAGTTAACTCACTTTTCCAGTCACTAAACTAGTTTCTCAAACTTTCTCTGTTCTCTGGATGAGGCCAACCTGCCTTTACTTCCTCTCCCACAGCTGCCCACTGATCATCCTTTATTTTTCTACCACCAAATATGAAAGCCTACCATCATTGATTCCACACTTTGTTCTTTCTTACTAAAGACTGCCTTCTTTCCTACTGAAGTCAGTTTCTCCTAGGAATTATCTTTGACATCTCATTCTTCACATTCCATATCTAATTCACACACACACACAAATCCTACTCATTCTTAAATACCTCCTGAATAAGACTGCTTCTCTCCACCTTCAAGTTCCCAGAACAGTTTCTTTCTACCTAAACTACTACCATTGTTCCCCAACTGATCTATGGTTCCCCTTCAATAACTCTACCAGTCTTATTCCAATTGTTTAAAGGTTTTAAGCGTAATATTGACGTACACTGAAGATGGCAAACGTGAAAACACTCATCACTGTTCAGCCTGATACATCTCATATGTCTGACACCTGTTTAACCAGCACCCATTCTAAGGACGCAACGTAGGCAGTTGTGCAAAAGCCCATCTTACGCTGCTTCCGGTCACTAGCTCCCTATCTCCTACAACCGCTAGGCTCACTTCAAACACGTTAGCTTTGTCATTTTTTTCATCTTTTTTACCAGCCATACCATACTATATGCATATTTCTGGGTCTGTACTACTATTTATTTGCACAAAGTTCACCCATATGGTAGTGAGAACTTCGAGTCTGTTCATTATCACCATTCCACAGGAAGCCTCTACACACTTCCACAACAAATTAGTCTACTCTTGATGAACATTTTGTCTATTTCTAGCTTAAGGCCATGAGGGACAGGTCATGTCTCTGAACATTTTTGTGCCTGTCCCAGGCTGTACATGTCCTACCACTTCTCTTAGGTCCCTTCATTCTAGTCACAGTACCCAGGGTGACATTTCCTACGATGCAAATCTAATCTTAGGATTCTTCATTCACTTGGTGACTTGCAGGAACCCACAGGAAAGACTAAAATCCTTAAGTTGCTACAAGGCCCTGCATGATATCAATCCTGTCCCTCAGGTCTCTTCGTCAGCCAAGCCTTCTTTGCTCAGGTCCCCCATCCTCCTTCCTGTGACAGCATCTCTCACAGCTGCTCCTGCCACCCAGATGGCTGCCCCTCTACCATCTCCCTGGCTAGCTCACTCTCCCTGTAGACTTGGTTGTCTTCAGTCACACAGCAAAGCCGTCTCTAGCCCTCTTCTCCAGCTCTGTTTTCATAAATTACCCACTCTTTTTATTTGTTACAGTTATAATTTTATTTTTCTTCAATTAATATCTATTTCTAATCTCCTACCCACACTCATTGTAGATCATTTGTTTCACAAGGACAAAGACTATGGATTTTGCTTTTGGTTGTTGGTTTGCTTTTGGATTTTCTCCTGGTCTTTTACATGGACCAAAGCCCAGCGTGGTGGCACATGCCTGTAGTCCTAGCACTTGGGAGGCTGAGGCGCGAGGATCACTGTGAGTTCCAGACCACCAGACAATTACATTGGATTACAATGTGAGCGCAAGGCTGACTGAACTGCATAGCAACACTCTGTCTGAGAAAAAAAAAAAAAACAACTTACATGGACCATACTGAAAACAAATAAAATGCTTGTTCAAAGAATGAATCATCAATCAAATTCCTACTGTTTGTGGAACAACGAAAAGAACTCAAGTTTTGGGGATATAGCTCAGTGTCTTAAGTGCTTACCTGGCAGGTACAAGGTCCTGAGTTCAATACTCAATACCAAAAAATAAAATAAAATGAAATAATAAAAGCATTCAAATTCAATATTATAGAATGGTATTGGACTTACTAGCTTATTTTCTGACCTGAT